CTGTCACTTGCCTCATTAAAGCTCTGCATTCCCCGCAGTACTGGGTCCGTGTCTCTCTCATTTGCCCAGTGTGACAGGTGTGATGACAAGTTTTTTTTGCAATGTATTGCAAGAATAAAAAGGCAAAAAGATTTATTATTGCTTATGTTTGAAAACTTATTAGAGTTAATAGTTAATTTAAATTAAGTTAATCAAATGTATAATAATGCTGCATTGTCAGTTTTATAAGGAGTACAGCAAAAGAGCTAGCTTTCCCTTCATTAATACGATACTATTTAATACAATGATGTGTCTTGAAGCTGACAATGCAGCATTATTTTTGAAGCTGTTTCTCCTAAGCAATTTTAGGAGAAAAACCCGAGACACAGTTAATACTTAACCATCCTAGTTGAAAAATGTGGCTATAAGTACCTACACAGTAAACATAACAGAGGTAGTCAAATATGATGCTTTGTTGCTCTGCAATATTTGTTTTGTACATTTTTAATTTTTATTTTAATTTATTTATTGGTGTACAGCACTTTGGTCAGCAATAGCTGTGTTTAAATGTGCTTTATAAATAAATTTTACTTACTTAGACAGGCAAACATACATGCGACAGTAGGAAATGCAACAAATATTAACTATAACATGACCAAGAGGCCATACAATTATCTAGCATGCTCTGGCACTACACTGCCCCCTTCCCAGATGTTGCATGACCATCCAGGTGACCACCACAGCCAGTCCTCCATCATATCCGCTAGCACTATTGTTTGTTTTGAATAGGGCTGAACGTTACTAGGAAAAAGTACATTGTGATACTTATGAGTTTACTGTATAGCCAACTAGAACATATTATCTACCAACAGAGTCTGTCAAATAAGTTGTTGGTGCTGCCATGAGTTGTGCTAAAAGACAAGGCAGTTCAGACAAATCACTTGCTTTTGCTCAATACTGTCTCTATGGAATACAAAACATTTCAATTTACCACAATACAAATGTCTTTTTGTGACCAGTTCCACTGTTACACCATATTTTGTGACCGTCGTAATGCGTGACTTCAGGGGTGCCGTTTCACACGTTATTGGGAATGAAGGTTCCTGTTCACATGCACAAGCCCTCTGCGCATTTTACGTATTTTACTGTAATTATTTTAACTGTTCTATTTTATGTAGGCTACCGTAATTTAAAATATTTCAATGCAACAGACTTTTTCAAGGCAGTAGTGTTTCTGCTTTCCGCTTCTTGTCCACTTTAATTTATATTTCTTAGTGTTGTTTGCGGAGCTGATTGGAAATAACTTCTGCATGATCTCTTAAAATCGACATTTTTAAGTTATATATTTGGGTAAAAGAGTGGGTATTTCTGAACTGCAAAACATATAGCCAATGTTGCAACTACTGTATTTGCAACGATTGCTCTTTTATTTTTGATTTATTTCAAAGGGGATGCACGCATGCAAACTAAATGGAACTACTGACAAAGGATCAGAGCATGTGAGCGGAGCGGAGCGTGAGCGAGGAGCGGAGCGGGCGGAATTTGGTCAGAGCGCGGAGCGGGTTTTCTAATTAAGGCTGGAGCGGTCGCTTTGTCTCGCTCCAATTTCGCTCCGATACCGCTCACACTACAATTCTGAGGTGTGCCCAAATCTACCCAGAATTCATCTGTACAAGAGAGTGGGGTGAGTTGTGCCAGTTTTTACTTAAAGTGACTTTAA